CGGATTTTGGATAAGGGTGCTGTGATCGGCCTCCCTGAACTACTCAATGTGCAACCCAAAAGCCAATCGATATGATCAATGTTGCTTCCAGCACCACATACAAATCCAAAATTATGTGTGGAGATTTCCACCTACCACATGTTAACTGGACGCTGCCTACACTCAGAAACACGGTGGAGATTGAGGAAATCATCTCATGTATTGACCTCAATGGCTGGACTCAGCATGTTAGAGAGCCAACCAGAAGTGTTACTACCTTAGACCTTGTATTCGCGATGGGAAGCGCTTAAGCTTATACATTCATTGATAATCCACTACCTGGCTGTGATCACAACACGATGCTTTGTGATATGACTATAGATTCAACTAAACGACCAAGTAAAATGCTAAAACCCATTCGCAACCTCCATCATGTGGACTGGAACTCATCTAACGAAGTTATCAGTACCAAGAATTGGAATACGTCATTCCTAACTCACAACCCTACTGTGGCTACAAATGAGTTGATGAACAATATTGCTCTTGTTGTGGATCTCCTGGCACCTACTGTATAGAGAAATACCCATGAACATAGTGGTGAACTCAAGTTTCTGTACAAAGCCAAGATCAAACTAAAGAAAGTCAAGTCGTTATATCGCAGGAGCAACAGCTTCGCAACATTGCTACAAATACAGGAGAATTTACTACATTTACAACGTCTAACCCAAACGGTCAAAATGAAAGAAGAAAGCCAAGTACTCAGAAATCCTGACTAAATAGGTGCATTGATGCAACTACTCAAAAGAAGAAACCCTATACCAATTCAGGAAACCGAAACGTTGGCCCTAGACGATGGTTCAATAACGCGCGACATCTCCTGTATATGCGAGGCCATGAACTCTAGTTTTGCCTCCACTTTTGTCCCTAACATTCAGCCACTTCATCCTCCACATCCAAACAGAACGACCGAACTATACTGCAATATCCCTGTGACGTTAAGAGAGGTGCAAAGTGCCATCGCAGCCATAAAACCATCAACTAATCCAGGTCCAGATGGCATCTCCCCAACTGTTATAAAACTCGGAGGAAAAAACCTCGCACTATTGTTACTAAACATTTTCACACTTTCACTCACTACCGGATGCTTTCCAGCTCAATGGAAGCAATCCATTATAATGCCTAAGCACAAGGGTGGACCGAGAAATCAAATGTCAAGCTACCGCCCAATAACTCACACCTCTGCTGCTTCCAATGCCCTAGAGCGAATAGTCAAGAAGAACATCGTCCAATATCTTACAAGACTGGATCTGATCAACCCCTCACAGCACGGCTTTCTCTCAAAACGCTCCTGCGTTACATACCAGCTTCAATTTCTCGATCGCATCACGACTATGATTGGCAGAGGAATGGCAATTATTATAATTCTGTTGGACATGCAAAAGGCGTTCGACCGCGTGCCGCACCAGCCAGTGCTGTCTGCTCTAGTGTCGTATGGAATTGGAAATCCGCTGCTTAACTGGTTCGACTCATACCTAAACGTTCGAACTCGGGTAGTTAAAATCGGTCAGCAACATTCTACACCGAAACCAATAACCAGCGGTGTCTTCCAGGGAAGTGTGCTCTGACCACTAATTTGCTTAATCTACGTAAACAATATATGTGACCCGATCAAACATGGACACCCATTTCTGTTTGCAGATGATGTCAAACTGGTTTACTCATCTCATCCAGACCAACTACATATGTGATTGGGGAACATCTATAAAGACCTATCCGCACTAAATATAGCTAGTGAGCGTTTATTAATGAAGTTCTCCGCAGTGCAATCCCAAGTACTTGGGTACAGATGCCGCATCCCAGAAGGCTCCATCATACTTACTGGAAACGTGATCCCCACATCGGATTCAGTTCGGGACTTAGGAATTAGGTACTCCAACTCTTTCCATTTCTCCGAACATGTTCTTTACCAGGTTGCGAAAGCAAGGCACTTATGCGGATATATCAACAGAACTTTTTCCCTACCTGAAGTACGACTTGAGTCATTCAAGACAATAGTACGACCGACTCTGGAATATTGTACTATCCTTCACAGCCAATTGAGAAAGAAAGACTCTGGAAAATGTTTAACGCTCATTTATCAAGCTGGTCATGGGGCGCTGCTCAAACTTAACTTAATATGATCGCTGTCGAAAACTCCAACTGGATCCACTTTGGCTGAGACAATTAAGGAATAACGTCGTTCTCTTCTACAATGTTATAAACCAACGAATTTACGCAGACAACACCGCACTTGGACTACGGAAGACTGCAGTCTACCCCACACGTAATGGCGGCTACTTGATACGTACAAACCTTTCAAGTCATAAACTCGGTCGAATTTCTTCTTAGTGAGATACACTGGTCTGTGTAACAAACTACCCCTACAGCTATGCATGTGTACAAGCCATGTCCATTTTCGAAATCTCCTTCAGACCTTCCTCACTATACCAAATGCTCTGAAGATATTTGACTCACAGCAAAATCTATAAACATTGACAGAAACTGGTATAAAAAACATATGAGAAGATATTCGCTTACAGCTAGCTTACCCATTACATGTCATTACATACAATACCAAAGCCCGTGTCTTTGCAGACTAGTAGTCCCTCCCTTTATTATCTACTCCTGATGATACAAACATCCGTAAATTTTACATATGAGGTACACGGGTCTAGCACCCAAGGACAAATATCATGGTCCGAAATTCTATTAACAAACTTTTCTTTAATATTATAAAACGTATTCACTGTACAAATGATCGCCCCCACTTATGGGGCCGTGTACCGTCTGTCGGTAAATATACAGATTTATTTTTATTTATTTATTTTAAGTAATTAGAGGCTTTATCAAAGTCTAGATATGTGACAAGAGTGTTGGTCCTCCTACCGGCTGTTCCAATCCAACTGCCACGCGCAATCAGTAATTTTGAGTTACATGACCGATGGTAACGGAATCCGTGTTGCTCCGACGCTCTGCTACGTGACAACCATAAATGGTCCATTAGTGCCTCAGCTATTGCAGACTCCATCACTTTTGAGAGCACTGGGAGGGAAATCACCGGGCAATAGTCGGAAGACTCTGAACGGCTACGGCCCTTGAAAATCTGGGTAACGATATCCTACTTCCACAAGCTAAGAACTTGCTGTTCTTCCAAACATTTTGAAATACTCGGGTTAATGTCTTAGCTATCCTCGTAGCAATACTTTCGAGGAAAATCTGTCAACACCAGGTGAACTATGGGTGTACAAAGATAACAACTTCGTCAAACCGGTCGCTAAACTAAAAGAGACGTGTGAAAACTGGCGTCTGGTTGAATGGGAGAGTTAAGGGACACATGCTGCTGGCGCATTGGAGTGTTGGAACACATGGTAGTCGTAAAGCATTGGCTGCATCCTCGGCGATTTAAACACATACCTTTGCTGCCATGACTGTGGAGCACTACGCTTCGTTTTCCGGCGGCTGTTCACATTGTTCGTATAGAAGATGGTTGTTAGCACAACACTCCACCACTAGACACTTCAAGTGCACTAAGTTGTCCTCACGGACGAGTGTGGTTCAGTATAACGAGAAATTACATAATTGCTCCTCTTGCCCGGGCTAGGGTTTGCTATGCACATAAGCCGCAATGCGACTACTACTGCAACGCATTTTCGGGTTCTGCTTCGACTGAATGATGAAGCCGTTGCAGAACGAAGGGACTCGTTTCCCGATGCGGATGTAATCAGATCACGGAACTTGTCAGCAAACGCCATCCAGGCGGTATCAATGGAATAGTCGTCCGAAAACTCCCAGATGGCATTTCCAACAAGTTCTCTTAGTATGTCGTGCTGTGTGACCGTACGGAACAAGTCAGTAGGTATCTGTGGAAACTCTTCCCATAACAAACAGTCTTAAAGTATCCTTACATGAACACGCAGCCCCAGATGACTTTCCATTTTTGGCGAGAAGCCAACAATGGAAAGCACTCCGTTCGTGAACACTAAATGGAACGCTCTGAATCGGGTGGGAGACCTGACAGGGTGAAAACCGATATGTCTGCAATAAACTTTTGCAGGTCGACTTTGAATGGTTCGCTGGAGAGTGCCGGAATTTATGGGTCATTAACTTGAATTCACTTTAGAAGAGAACATGATTGTATCATTGTCTCGGGACCCTCCGCAGGGCTAATATCAGGCCGGAGTCCAACTCTGCGTCAGATATTTTTACACGATAAACAACTGGCAAAAGGCAGCTATCGATGCGTCTCAGCCGCAGACTGCACCGGAGTGAGTCGATGGTCAACTTTGCCGAAGCCTCCACCGGTTCATACTACAAGTCACTGTGGTAGTATAAAACTACCCCACCACCGTTGCTGGGGGATCGTTCCGAAGAAGCGACATGTCATGTATCATGAGTTTGGCGTCAGTAATATCTCAGTGCAGCCAAATCTTAGTTACGAATATGAGATCCCAGGAGTATGATGCTTTTCGTAGCCGTAGTTCAGCAAGTTTGTCCAAGAGATCTTGTACGTTGGCGTACATACAGGAAGGTTTCTCAGCTCTCATTAGTTAGTCGGAGAACGTGTGTTTTGTCGAACGGCGAAACGTGGATCACTAATCCTTTTTTGCGTTGAGCGGTGACGAACTCATCTGTGTCAGACCCAAGGATTCCGCAAAATGGTCAAGCATATTGTCAGTTGATCTTAGCAGTAGGTTGCGGAGGGGCGGATTTGTTGGAATATTTATTGAGTCCGCCATTTATCCCATACACCCTTGACCTCCCATATCGCCGCAGCACTGTAAAGGCTCGAGCTGATCCCCTAAAAGATGGTCCTTCATGTAGAAATATTTTGATCTGATGACAGTATAGTTTTAAGGTTTACTATTTTCAGCATGCCCTATAGTTCGTTTTCTGGTTTATGTACCGTCTGCGCATTGTTTACCAGCTAGCGTTGTCTGTCGTAAAATTTGATGAAGTGAACATTTTGTTTTGCTTTTCTTCAGAACTGTGCCCCTCAGGGTCATTTGCAAGCGCACGCGTCGTCAGTCCCAAACCCCCATTCGTAACACGTGATTATAAACCTTTGAGATCCGATCAACCGCTTTTGGCTGACGAACACCAGCGCAAGGCTCTAATTCCACATTGGTTGCATATGGAGGAGAAAGCTACTTGCAATTCGTGCCCAGAGAATACGTACACCGAAGAAACCGGTCGTCTGCTGTGCCTTCCCTGTCCAATTTGGCACATGAGACCGAAGACACCTGGTACTAGCATCCAGCAATTTACGGGGGCAGACTGGCTCCAACTAGCGTGTCCTCCGGAGGGCCGTAATCAGTTACGTCTGGTTCAAGTTGCTGAGGGGATGTTGGGCGAACGATTTTCACAATGGGTGAAGGAGTCCAGTCCTCTGTCACGCGTGGCCGCGATGCTTGTGCTATTCTTCATCCCAATAGCAATTGCACTAGTGGTGCTCTTTATAGCATACATGCTCATTGACGTTGGTGCAGTTATTGTTAGAATGGCCAAAGAACTGCACCCACTTCAAATTCAGATCGCTGAAACAGCCATCGCAACTGCTTCGTTCAAAGCAGACCATCAGAAAGCCACGGAAGAAGTGTACGCAAGGATGAGAGGAGAATGAGGAAGTCTCATCTAGGGAATACGACTCTATCAGGTTACATGGGTATTACTCACAACTATTTACGATATGCTGAAAATAACTGGTTATCTCGCTTAATTATACGCCTTCTGTGTAGGGGACGATGACAATGTTATGTATCCTTGAAAGAAGACATTCTGTGACAACATTTGACAGAGCCGAATTCCGAGAGGCTGCGGTCGTGTAGCGCGAACAGGGATTAGTTGCATTTTCATGTGAAGCACAAATAAAAAGCTGACCTGTACAGCGCCATTGCATTTAGCTGGTTAACTTTTTTCCTTCTTACCTGAAGGATTTCAGGCTAGCAGGGCTGAATAGACAAAGGGAACGATGGTGGGTCATGAGAAAACCAGCGTACTTTGCACAAATTCGGTGCGAGGGCCAATGCGGACACGCACAGGAAAGCGTTGTATTCCACTGGGGAAAACAGTGAGAAGCAATGCTGGCCTCGTACTATTGGTTACCGCGTTCCTTGTATACGATATTTCCCTCCATTTGGTTTGGTATTCTATAACATAGTTAGTAAATGACGAACACCCATCTTCCTTAGCCTACGTAACACGGTGACTGTGCGTTCAACACACAGCAGACGGCAGACGTAAAATTGAAACGCTGACATGTTGTTTGATTGCTATGAGCAGTCTCAACGAATCGCGAACAAGTATAAACCATTTACTCCCGCTATAAATCCCTTTCCATAATGGGAAATGGTGCTGAAGGATATCTGACGGTTCTTGGGGAAATTGTGCAAAACCTTCCAAAGAACTTTGCGCTACGCTCCGTAATAGAATTATCCTTACCTGTATCAACGTACACCGGCAAACTTTCAAGTATTCGACTGGGCATTACCAGCTCTATTCAATAATAACTTGGCCAGCTTCATACAATCACAATCTACAACTGTTTGCGGTAATTGGAGCCATATTTACGAATACGACCAGTAAAGCAGCTTTTCCACTATCGAACCCTAACTCCAGAGTGCGGTCTACATATCACCAACAACCGACCCTAGATCGCGTCGATCGATCGGCGCAACTTTTCACTTACACCAAAGACACTCGAAATCGCGTGCGAATAGTAACGTGCGGGCGAATCATATAAACGTCAGATTGTCATCTATAGTAAGTCCCAAAACACTGGTCCCTCTACTCTGTTAATGCGGGACAAAGGATCCATCATTATAGTGGGAAGTAGAGCGCACTAAGTCGCCAACTGTCTAATAGTAGATGTTGCTCCATCTCAAAATGTCTCACTCGGTCACATGGGTGTGAACGACCGGAATACATGCATTTGGGTACATGGGTACTTACAATTCTCGTCTATCGAGAAAACGCTGGATCATGTGCGGGTGGTTGAGTTGGAGTCAACCTACGGCACGCCAAAAGCCAAGTTCACCGATCGATACATACCGTGTGTCGGTCTGGTTGGGACGGAGACAGGCGTGCAAGATCGAAACCTGCTACTGAGGTAGAATCGTGGTTGCGCTTGCTCAGGCGTAAATGGTCATAGCAAGGAGTGTGCAATAGGTGCATATGTTGTACTTGGTAATGACAAAAGGGGACAATATCCGAATTTTTATATTCTCTTACCTCGTCATAACGAAAGGCATTACTGCCTTTACTATCACGCTTACTAATCTACACAACAGCAGTGAAATGCCGCTTTCGGGACCACATGATCCAATTTTCATTTACTGCTTTTAGGCATTGTTCCTCAACGATGCTTTGTTGTCTAATAATCCGCAGTGTTGTTGTAAATATGCTGAAAATGTACCCGTACGGATGGCTAACGCTTACTTTAACTTGACTTGATAATGCTATACTATTTGCTCCCTTATTATACAGTAGCGTGGAAAACATCAGATATTGGAGATAAAGAAGAGTCACCGCACCGGACAGGGAGCTTCAAAGAAATACTGTGAAAATATAGGACACTTGTGCCAAGTCAAAGATAGGATTTCAACGTTGAAAATACCCTCTGGATAATCTACGCTGCGGACATAATTAATAGCCATCTGGTATTCCCGTATCATAGGAGGCGTTGGTATTCCACCAATGTAGAGTTACAGCATTCCTTCGGCTCTTTAAGACAAACAGTGTAAATATAAAACTAGGAGTATATTCTCGACATAACTGTTTCAAAATCAATAGGACAAAAGCCAGTTGCCGTTTATAATCTGTTGTGGACAATGTGAGCCACGTAACTAGATCGCACAAGTGTTGCTATAACCGAGGATTTCAGTTTCGGAAATACATTGTTTGGTCCCTTTTTATGAAAGCCAGCGAAAAGCCTACCATATCCAGGATATACTATTTTGTTCAAACATATTATGTAGCAATTAACAAATGACGCCCAAAATGTCACAGGTAAGTAACTGCAGGGCTAAAAGTTAACAATAATGAATGACGGCGCAAAATATATAAAAAGAAGTGGGAACAAATATACTCCCTTCTGACTTAAAGCGTCGGTGAACATTTATACGAATTTTACATTCTCCAGTTTACTTTAGCTTTTTATCTGTCTAATAGCATACTATTTTTTACTGTCATCATTATAATGTTATTTATATTATTATGAATACCTCACAATTTGTGCAGACAAGGCAACCTTCAGCTCAAAAAATTGCACTAACAACCTTCTGATGAAATTAATGGAAAAGCGTGCCTATGAAAGCCAGCGCGACAAGAGAGTTACCTTTTGCGATTGCTAATTTGGCTTCTGTGTTCCCAAAGGCTGCTGATCGGAAATAACGATTGCAAAGGTAGCAAACGCTGCCGCAAACGCTGCTACCTTATGACCATCCAATTTAAAGTGCTTTATGATGTGCCACCGTGAGTCATAGAAAATTCGGATTGGCATTTGTCACAAGTAACATGCGAGTCGTTGGCGCGTGTTGACTTCTTAATGAATAGAAAATCGAGCTCCAATTGCGTAATCATCATACACATTGGCTTAAATATGGTATTCCTATCAAAATGGAAAAAATGCAGACGTTCTTCACTAAAGTATCCTAAAGGTTTGATTTTGCACCTACATTCTACATACTCAGAGCGGGATATTCTGAGACCTACGACATTAATGTAGCTATCAGACGTGGCGGGCTTAGCTGAGTACAAGCCTAACCTCTCAAAACTCAGTAGGCTCTTTTGATCATTGGGCGAGATGAGTACAGGCAGCCACTACGTGTTTCCGGCGTTCGTTAGCTGTCAGCTAACATCGCGCTGAGTGCTGAAGGTTATGGCCAACCGTCAGTGTTGGAGTGATGGATGACTATCTGTGTATGTCTCGCGCGCTACGCAGCGAAGTCGGCGTAGACAATCAAAACTGCAGGGTGAATTTGCGCATGTGATGGCAGCTCAGCTGAGGACAAGGTTAGGCATTGCAACTCTTGCCAATAATATTGAATCACAGGTGATGTATCACGAGCAGCCAATGCAGTCGGGAGCACGTAACTCGACGTTTAATCGGCGCGCGCTGATTATTCGGCTATAGTGTAAATGCGGCTTAAACGCCGCATCAGCGTCAAGAAAATATAATGCAACCAAGGCAGGAATTAGTCTCGCCACCGCCGGGCACGTGCTTAAACTAGTAAAGAAGTTTGGGCAAACGGGCAGTGTGCATGACACGAAGAGAACCGGACCTTCTCGCATCACAACAGACGACGGTTTGGTTTGCGCTGTAGTCAGTGAAGTGTCAAAAGTCCCGATCTCAGCATTCGTCGGATCGCAAAGCAACGTGACACGACCCAATATGGGGTAGGTCGGATAATTTTAGAACGGAAAGTTCTGAGATTCCGTGCACTTCAACCGCAGGTTCTAAAACCATGCGATCCGGAGAAGCGGCATGAATTTTGACACTAGTTTCTGGATCATGGAGATATATCTTCAGATCTTTACAGCTAAGACTTTGTTTCATCTGCACAGAATAATGAAACAGTACCCTAGGACTACCAGCAATCCGCGAACATTTACCGCATCAGGTATGTACTACAGTGCAAATTTGATCGTTTCGGCTGGATTACAAGGCCAGAACATCTTGAGTCCATATTGCTTTTCTGGGAATATGATCGGCAGGTTGTTGGTTTGAGTTAGTAGAGCCTTATCTTCTCCTAGCATCGTCGTAGTTGGAAATGCTACAGACGTTTGTGCTTCCCCAGTTGGAGGCCGAAGGAGCATGCAGTACCATCTGGTGGCAGCAAGATGGTGCACCTGCACATTCTGCTACAACGGTGCGTGCTTACCGCACTGACAAATTTGGTCACCATTGGATCGGACACGGTAGACCAATGGAGTGGCCTGCTCGCTCACCAGAGTTGAACCCCATCGACCTTTTTCTATGGCGCTATCTGAATCGGCGACTGTACAAACTAGGCCGCGTACATTAGGCCAATTGAAAGAAAATATTGTGAACGAATGTCACGGGATCACGAGCGATACATTAGAGAAAGTGCTCGCTAATTGAATCAAGCGGTTTCTGCACTGCAAGCAAAATGCTGGCGGACATTTTGAACATAGATGATGGTTCCAATACATTTCTGTTAATATACTTATGCTCTTTCACAAATGTGTTAACGCCTAAATTGGTCCACTGGAAACTGGTGCTAATAATGCGCCCGGTCGGATAGAATTCTTAACGTCCAAGCTGTCATTGGGCATTTAAACAGCGTAGGCGCTGAACCTTTCGATGGCTAGTGATAGCGGAATCACTGAGTCGTTATGACATAAGGTTCGTGCAGCCTTAATGAAAAGCCGACTGTGTCGTTGACTCATTTTCAGGCTCTTGCGTATGAATTTGGTGTTTAGGGTAAGTTGCAGTAGGTAGCAACATGTTTAAGTGGGGTTGATCCTTATCTAGTAGACTAATATGAGGTCTCCACCTAGCCACCTATAGCATCTACTGAAGACTCCGAGTGCTTTAGTCTCTGCTGGAACAAAAGGTTGTACAATCTCATGACACATTTTGTTGCTCGATCATGGTGACTT